GGAAACTTATAGAAATAATGATTGTCATTTTATTCTCATCCTCTCTTGCAGAATCTGCTGCTGCTTTGGAGTTTGTTGCAGGCAATGTGCCGCATATTTTGTCCTTTATCCAACATGTCGGTGCTGATTCTATTACCACTGAAGAAATTATATCTGCTTCATGTGGTCTAGTAGGGTAAGTCAAACTATAATTTCCCCTTATAACCTTTTTTCATACATTTTGATACATATTTATTATTATTATCATTATTATTGTTCCCTTGGGTTCCGAGTGGAACCCAAGGCTTCAACAGCACGTCTCCACTTTGTCCTACTTTCTACGGTCCTCTGTACCTGCCTCCACAAATTCCCATAATCTCTAATCTCTCCTCCATGTTATTCTCGGACACACTACTAGTCGTTTCTCATTCGGGTTCGACTGAGAGGGCTGACGTGAGGGGCGATGTCATTCGACAGTCTGTGTGTCCAACCCACCTCCATTTTCTTTTTCATATTTGTCGAGCAGTAGGCGTTTAGTTAGTTCGTTTCCAGAGTCTCTCTCTGCCAATTCTTTCTGACCAGCCATTTGATCTTCGATATGGAACCAGAGAAAAGGCCGCTGTTGATAGATGTCTACAGCTTGTGACGACGCGCTGGCCAAGTTTCTGACCCATATAGAAGAACTGACTGGACTAACATTTGTGTTGAAAATCCGAATCGACAAGAAGCCTTGGACCTAAGTTCCATGCTAGTTGACACTCACCAGTCAGCAAGGCGTATCTGCAACCTTGAAGGAACAACTCATGTCCCTTCTTAGAATCGAACCCGCGTCACCCAGTGCTGCAATCAGAGATGTTACCACTGAGCTATTCGGGTTGGCTAGCGATTGACCTCAATGTGTACTGTGACGGCGAGCTACCTAGTTGCATGGTGGCTACATTGCAAACCTGACTGATAGAATTCAGTCTGCATCAAAGAAAGGACTAGACACGTTGCATTAGTTACTAGTGTGCAACCAAAGGACAAACATGTTTGCGGGATACTTTACCTTACATTTTAAACGACATCAAAATAGAAGTTGCAGAAGATGTGAGCTTACTTGTATCACAGTGACCTCGAGTTATCGTATAGGAGAAGAATGAGGAGGAGGTCATTGGATAGTCCGTATAGCTCATTGGTGACGTCTGAGTGACCCAAGTTCGAACCTCAGAAGAGATATGAGATCTATTAAGATTACAGGTTCGCCTTGACGACTACTTCTGAGTGCCGACAAACACGAAACCCGTAGGTCAGATAGGGGACTTCCTACCGATTGCTTCCAACCATGTAATGCCAACAATCCAGGGTGCACCGTGATGGCGAGCCACCTAGCTAGAGGGGCTACGTTGCAAACTTGACTGATACAATTCAGTCTGCAGTAAACAAGGGACTAGATGCATGGCATAAGTTACACTCTCTAGTGTCAATTCGCAGAAAGCCAGAATTCAAATTTCGCTTAGAAATAAGGATTGACAAGAGACAGAATTCTAATGCAAAAGGCTTCTGCAAAATGAAGTAGACAAGGTGTCTGGCAGTTGCACTTGAGAACACTTTGTCGCCCGTTTCCTACAGAGACTTCTCAGGATATGTTGAGGAGATCTAGTAGAGGCTCTCTTCTCAGTCTTTCCTATATTGTATATTTACTGCCAAAAATGCGCATGTGAATCAGTATTTGCAGTCGGAGTAGACCTACCTACTTTTGACTGAATTAATGAGCATTTGGTTTATTTCTAAGCATAATTGGTCTTTTTTAAGTGACCATATTTGATCTCTTGGGTCTTTGTTCGAATTGGTTGTGGTACCGAATCAGAGCAAAGCAACTGTTGAGTACTGTTTAAATAATTTCCGATATTACTCTAACTAATGTTCCGTTTGTGAGGAATTTAATTTTATTATAACTTGATTCCATACAGTATTTTGGTACAAGTATGGAATTTTCAGCAATTGATATCGGTAGCCCAAATTTACCAGGCCGACCATAGATATGAGGTGTGCGTCGGCGGGGGATCGAACCTCGGGCCATGCACATGGTCGGCGAGAGTTCTAATCTCTGCGCCACCGACGCAGCTTAACTTGGGACATTATAGACTCCAAGAAGTGTGATGCGCCACACAAAATCTAATAGTTTTGTGTGCTGTGAGCTAGGATACTGTCCGACCACCCACACTGAAGCAGGTGGTTGTCTAAGAGGACCACCTCCCTATAGTCCTTTGATTTGAGGTTTGATCCACAAGGCAGTGGTGGGCCAACATCAGGGCCTATGTACACACCATGGGATTTTTCAGCTCCTCCAGATAGAGCTGCGTGTCCATCAGTCTGGTGGTTGTAGGCGCTTTCAGTTTTGTGAGGACAACTAACCCCAAAACGTGAATGTAGGCACATTATGAAATAATGACAGTTGAAAACATTCCTTCATCATTTAAAGCTGGATTCTTTCTGTAATTCCCCTAAATACTCAGTAGTAATACTGTATAACCGCTATGCCACCGATGCTTAATGTTTATACTCACTTCCTGTTGATTTATTTTCAGAGATCTTGTTTCAGCTTATGGTGCAAGCATTTTATCTGTTGTCGAAGTGGATGGTATCGCTGCAGTTTTACAAAAAGGTCGTCGGGCTAAATCATCTCGTACTAAAAATTTAGCTGTTTGGGCGACAAAAGAAATCCGAAAATTGAAAAATGCTAGTAGCTCTGCACCAACCACTGGTGGTGGAGGCGCTTCCAATAATTCTACCCTATCGCATACAGCCACTACTATCCAGGCTTCGCCTTCTGGATAAAAGGATAAAGGTATGCAGTGTTTCTTCTCTGTTCGTTCGGGGGGTAAGAATGTGTGTGTGTCTGTGTGTAACCATTTGGTGGTCGTTTTAACCCTTGAATCGATCGCATTGCTGGTTAACAACTGATCGATAAAACTAAACTAGTCCCCCCGTACTTGAGTATTACTCACCGATATGGCTGGTGGTTGATTTTTGCTCACTTGTTGTCTGTAAGTGATTACTGCTCACAAAGAAAAAACCAATCTCTGAACACTGTCATCAGAATGATGATTAGTCATTCTGTGATAAATAATTTTTTGTTTTCGTGTCAAATCATCTAGACATTAGAAAGTAGAACAAACAGAGTTCAACAGAAAAGGAGTCTTCTTTCAGTTAGTTCATTCACTAAAAACTGCACAATCACAAAATTATATAAGATTTTTTTCATGTGTGTGTGTACGTGTGTGGATTTGTTAAATAAGACTAAAAATAAGTTTGAAAAATTGTTTATGTCATCAAAAAGATATTTCAAAAATGTGATAAGTAATCACAACTGTTTGACTACCTACTTCGGGGCTAGTGGGGGGGGGGATGAAGCTTATCATAAGTTTAGACTACGGAGGTTGCGTAATGTATGAAGAATGTTCGATATCGGATAGAGATGTTGAGGAAATAGTATGGATTAATTAGGAATTTTATGATTGATGAACACATATTTAACACTGGGTGCCCAATATATGTTA